ACAACGAAAACTTGGGATGAAAGACGACTGCAGGACTATATTATTGCGGAGGACATTCCACTCATAAAGAGTATGGCTATTAGTTCCACACACCGACGGGATACGTTCTGCTGGAGCTATACAAGGTCTGGACAGTATACGGTTAAATCTGGATACTGGGTGGCACGAAATATCTTGAGGAAGGAAGAGGAAACGGAAGTATGTGAACCTAGTATCACAAAGCTTCAGGCACATGTGTGGAAGGTTAGGGCTCCCCAAAAGATTCGTCATCTTATGTGGCAGGTGATTACAGGACATGTAGCTGTCACAAGCATTTTAAACTACCGGCATATGAGATGTGACAATCATTGTCCTCGATGTGGAGAGCCAGAGGAGACAATCGCACATGCGATTTTCGAATGTCCACCTGCTTTACAGATCTGGGCGCTATCGTCTACGCCTACCAATCCAGTTATGTTTCCAGTTCAGAGCACATATGCGAATATGGACTATCTGTTCTGGAGGAAAAATGCGATAATGGAACCGGAAATGGATAGGGATCCTTATCCTTGGCTAATCTGGTACATTTGGAAGGCTAGGAATGACAAGTTATTCAGAGGCATTGATAGGGATCCATTGGAAGTGGCGCGCTACGCAGAGAGTGAATGCCAAGCATGGTTCCAAGCAAATGAGCAGGAAGTTTCGTCCCCTCTTGGGGATGGAATAGGTGGAGACCAGGCCCTAAGCTTGGGAAACCTCTGCATGGTGGATGGATCTTGGACTTCAACGGACTTATTCAGTGGATGTGGGTGGGTTTTGACTGATACCTCTGGAAGTAGTCAGTTACTGGGGGTGCGTAATTTTGATCGAGTGGAATCGGCGCTGCATTCAGAGTTGGAAGCACTGCGGTGGGCAATGGAGAATATGCTTCAACATTCGCCATGTCAGAGCTTTGGAACTGATTGCAAGGAGATGATCGAAATGCTCAGGAATCCTCAGGCATGGCCTAGTTTCTTAACAGAGTTGGAAAAAGTGATGACACTGAAGATCTGCTTTCCGGAGTTCAAGATCTTTTATGTTCCCAGGCTTCAGAATGGCGCTTCTGATTCTTTAGCTAAGTTAGCTAGGTTTTTTTATCGTAAGCTTGTGTTTGTTGGTTGTTCTGTTCCGGTCTGGTTACCCAGACCACCTCAAGTCGTTTGAGCAATAGAACAGCCGTTTGACGTCAAAAAAAAAAAAAAAAAAAGTATCATAAAATATTACATCTTTAACCTAACTAATTCCGATACCGATAACCCCGGGATTTCTTTGCGATTTAAACTAAAAGTAAGGTTTGTATACTTACGTAGAGCAGTCCATGCTAGAGGAGATAGGGAAGCTGAGATGCGTGTTGCAAAGAGGAGGAAGCTCTTGGATCTTATCAGCCAACATCGGAGGCGTATAACCTTTCGTCATCATCTCAACACAATTACACAGAAGCCTCGGATTCTCTTTTCTGTGCTTGGCAATTACGTTAAGTTTTGCGATGTGGACACAACATTTCTTACCGGGTTTGTAATAATTGCCCGTGAGAAATTCAAGACAATAAGAGAAATAATCATATGTGTATGCACAAAAAGGTACGTACGAGTGAACTCGAACCATTAGCCTTGTGTGATCGGAGACCAAGAGAAGTAGTGAAAGCAAGACTAGTGTTGGAGTGTGTTTATTCATTTCTAAACTTCGAATTGATGTAAATGAGACAAACTATTAGATCAGTCTAATATACGACTAAGAAGTTATAAATGTATATTGTTTTGTATTAGTCATGTTTATTTCATGGACTTTTTATTGATGGTTGGGGCATCGTATACGAATAGACCAATGAAAACAATACAAATCGAATGAACCTAGCTAGGAGGAGAAAGATAATTAATTGTGTCAATAATATTAAAACATAAGACCTTTTTAGGTTCTTTTGATTTGATTAAGTTTTTTTTTTACAGTAAAAAATCTTTATATTACTCAAGTTAGAGGTGATTTGGGTAATCAAATAAGAATAGAACAACCAATAAAATATAATTTCCTATAAAAAGATCTAGCATTCTTAGCTAAAAAGTCTGAAATCTGATTTTGCACACGTGGAACATAAGTGATCTTAAAATCTAGGAAGCATATCTAGAGAGTCTTTATCCTTTCTAGTTCTGTTGCAAAGCTTGGCCAAGCATGAGGCTCGTTGATCATGGCAATCAATTCTTTGCAATCTCTTCCAAAGCTTTAGCATGTCGAGTGTTGGAACATATTTTCCAACGTCTATCGCAGTGCTGCTACCTATGAATGAAAGGCTGATTCGCATCGAATGAAATTTTTCGTCCCCATGAGTTGAACCTTCGCAAAGCTATCCATCCAAACCCATACACTTTCATTAAACTGTGATGTGGATGTCCATGACCCGACTATTATGTAGATATTACTCAAGTTTGTGGCTTGGGGTTCCTCAATACTATGATTTTGTAGCATTGGTGACACTGTTTCGTTTGCATTAAACCAAGCTTGGTATTCACTCTCAGCATACCGCACTAAGTCCAATGGATCTCTATCTATCCTCCTGGAAATTTTGTCATTCCGGATCTTCCAAATATACCAGATTATCCAGAGATAAGAATCTCTGTCTAGTTCTGGTTCAACAGCTATGTGCTTCCTCCAGAAGAGATAATCCATATTAGCGTAAATACTGCAGACCGGAGTCGCTGAAAGGGACCAAACTTGAAGAGCTGGCGGGAACTAGAAAATGGAGTGAGTTACAGATTCTTATGGTTCTCTAAATCTTGGAAAATTGTTATCGCATCTCATGTTACACCGTACTAAGCTCCTCGTTACATCCACATGATCTGTAATCAATTATATAAGATGACATATCTTTTTAGGCGCTTTTATCTCCCAAGCAACGGCTTGAAGCTTAGTGATAATTGGCTCAATCACTTCCTTTTCTTTCTCTGCTTTTAATAAGTTCTGAGCTAACCGATATCTATATTTAACTGTGTACTATTTGTTCCTAGTATAACTGAGCTAACCAAAGGCATACACATCCGTTCTCTCTGTTAGGATTCCACGCATGGCATACTCTAGCGCAACATATCCACTTCCATTTGTACAAACATGTGTGTTATAAATATATATAATTATATATATACACATATACAAATTAGTGTTAGAAAAAAAAGAAAAAGTTGGTGTTGGGAATGCATACATAGTTCCTGCCACTTGAGTACTTATGTGGCTTTTCTTATCATCGTATAGCCTTGCAAGCCCAAAATCAGAAATTTTTGGGAGCATCTTAGAGTCTAGCAAAATGTTGCTGGCTTTCACATCCATGTGTACTATACGGACACTAGCCTCCTCGTGGAGGTAGGCTAGACCTCTGGCTACTCCCATGCATATCTCAAAACGGGTTGACCAATCCAGGTGTAAAATCCCTCCTGTAACATTCAACGAATGAGTAATTTAGCTTTATAGATAACCAAAGATAAGTAATTCATGTTTCTGTTCATTACCAAATAGTGCATGATCGAGACTTCCATATGGGAGATACTCATATACGAGCAAGCGATTATCTCCTTCATAGCAGCACCCATAAAGTTTTACTAGGTTGCGATGCATAACTGAAGAAATTGATATGATTTCTGCAACAAATTGTCCCTTCCCGTGTTGGGATCCAACCGACAACACTTTCACAGCAATCTCTCTTCCATCAGCCAGGTACCCCTGTTAAGTGTTAAAGCCAATGTTTTAAGAACATGACCAGATGATAAACGGGTAAAAAATCATTCAACCCGGGTCAACTGCTTAAACCGGGATTTGCTTATAATATTCTATAAGTAAACAGATATGCATAACTATGATAATATATATCACTTAAATAAAAATGTATTTATATTATAGTATTAAAATTTTCACAAATTAAATAACAACGAACAATTGTATTTCTCTTTCCATAACACCATCCAATTTTTATTTTTAAATATATTTTTTCTCAACTCCATCCACCTATCGAGGTTTCATATTTTCCCTCTTCCCTTTTCACGTAAAGATCTTTCTTTACATTTTTCATCTTCAAGCACACATATTTTTTTATTTGTCTATCACTATATCAAATCTAATAATACATCTAACTAAATCAACGCAGATTGAAAGAAAAAAATAAAACCATTTTTAATGTAAAAATCACTGGAAAAAATACAATACATGAATTTTTAAACTGGATTTTTTTTTCAGCAAAACCGATTCACCAATTCTAGCAGGTTTCAGTGGTTTTTGGCTGGTTTTTTCTTATTCGCCTATCATTATATCAAATCTAATAATACATCTAACTAAATCAACGCAGATTGAAAGAAAAAAATAAAATCATTTTTAATGTAAAAACCACTGGAAAAAATACAATACATGAATTTCTAAACTGGATTTTTTTCAGCAAAACCGATTCACCAATTCTAGCAGGTTTCAGTGGTTTTTGGCCCGTTTTTCTGAATCAACTCAAACCTGTTTTGAAACCAACCTGGACTCAGCTAAATGAAGGAGTCAAGGTTGAACCGCTCCAACCCGTTGGTCCGTCAGGTCCGATTTTCTAAACATTGGTTAAAGCATATCAAAAACACAGGTGCATTAATCTTATCCATTTTATGAAGAAGATGTTTTAGTTTCGGAGACAGGACGGCACGGGTGATGGTACGAAAACTTCACAAAACGTTTCAACCCAAAACTATAATTTGACTTATAATGGCCGTTCATATTCATTAGCACTTCTTTTACATACTAAAAAAAAATTTGTAACAAAGACAATACAATTTCAAACTAAAAGAATATCACTAAGCTACAATGATTTGTTCTAATTGAAAATGTTGATAACTTAGTCATTATTTCCAAAGTTTTCGAGCAATCTCTATAATATTATTTAAGTCAGTTTCTTATGTGTGACTCTCACGATGGTTGATTATACAGATACTCTTCATGAATTAAAAATAGTTGAAATAGTATTATTAATTCTTTTATTTAGTTTTCTTTTCAAATTTTTTTAAAAATATATGTAATAAAAAGGAAATTTTTTATAAAGTCATAAACACAAATTTAGAACGAAAAATATATGTAAATGTAATATGATTACATAAGAAGGAAAGTTCACAAAATAGTAATAATACATTTAAATATACATTTTAAATAGCATAAAATATACTTTTAGAGTAATAAAAATAGTTTATAATTAGTATTATTGAAATTTTTATTTATTTTTCATATATTTAGTTGACTATAATATCTTTCGATTACATAAAATTATATATGTATATATATATATTATATTTTACTTATATAATATTATTTTCTAATACAATCACAATTTGGTGTAGTGCTTATTTTAAGAGATCTTAAAAACTAAAAATAAATTTAACAATAAACATCGCTTGATCAAATAATTAAAAATTAGTTTAATGAGCTAGATATATGATATTTTATCATTATTAAAATTATTTTCCTTAATATTAAATTTTCTTTTAAATTTTATGTTTGTGAAACTAAATATAACCATGATAAAAATACCAAAACAAATCTGAATTCTCAATTTTAAGATTATTTAAAATAAATTTCAGTTAACATTCAATAAATCTAAAGAATGAAGTTATTTATAATTAATAAATATTTTAATTATTGTAAATATTGATAGATGTTCGTGAGCTTCCAAAAATGTATCAACTACTAATGCATGTAACCTTCTATTGATCATAGGATAACTAAAAACATATTAACAAATGAAAATAAATATTAACCAACTCTTACAATTTCAGTTCTTTTGTAAAATTTATATATATGCATGATACTTTAGAATATTATCGCTATATTAATTTACGTATTTTGAAATCATACATTTTAGTTAATTTTTAATTCATTCTAAGCACAATATATCTTAAGTTATACATAATTTTCCTAAAATATATTTACATATCTAAGACAAAACCCACTATATGCAATTAAGTAATTAATTAAAAAAATAATATATTTTAAAAATGTTACAGTTGAATTCAGAGATGCAATCCAATTTATCCAGATGATAACTAAATCAACCGTAAAACAAAAAAATCGACTAATATAACATATATAAAATTATAGTATAATTAAAATAATATAATATTAATAATATAAATGATGCACACAAATTATAAATTAATTTAAAATTAAAAATAAATAGTAATCAATTATCATATATTTACGTTAAAAATATTTATAACCGTGCATGAGCACGAGAAAATCACATAGTATGCACATATATATATATATATATATATATTATATATATATATGTATGTATATATACATATATATTATTACAAGGCCGGCTCATTTTTTCTTTAAACTCTGTGCAAAAAAAAAAATTCTACACGAACAATAAATATATAGGGTCCTAAATCTACAAACAAAAACCTTAAACTCTACCTAATCTATAAAAAAAAAAATTTGGACCATGTGCCTAAGACCACCATTATCGCATGGTTTTAGGAGGGTTTTTACCCAAAAAGTAAGGTGTGGGCCACCACAAAAAGAAAGAAACGGGTTGCACAAGTTGCAGGAGAAGAAACGTTTGTTCATGGTTTTTGGTACTGTTTACGGGTCCCACAGATACGTGGTGGCCCGCCATTGGTATATTTTCTAATTTTTTTTTTTTTTTTTTTTTAGTTAAAAAATAAAAATTTAAGAAATCCATTTGTAAGTTTGTGGGATAAAGATGGTCTAAGCACCTTGTGCACATTCCATCAGCGGGTATCTATGACGTATTCGTGTCTAATAGTTTTAGTCATGCCATTTCCTCTCTAGTGCTACTTAATTTGGGGATTACCTTATAAACAGACCCAAATCCTCCCTCTCCAAGCTTATTTGAGGGATTGAAATCTTGAGTGGCACTTTTAAGTTCAGAGTAAGCAAAAGTGTAAGGCCTTCCATCCAATCTAAGCAGCTCTGTAACAACAAAAATCTGAACCAATTTGAAAGATGATATTCAAGGTCAAAGACTTGTTTGTGTTGTAGTTATTACCTTCATCATTTGTGTAACGCTTTCTGCTTTTTCTGATGCTGATGATAACTACGCCCGAAATGATGCTTATAAGTCCTAGACCAACAATAGCACCCACAACTGTACCAGTCGTGTACTTTTTCTTTGATGGTGGTCTGTTGCCCACAGTTGGTATAAAATCTGAACATGTAACACTTAGGCACCAGGGAGATGGTAGAAAAAAAAGGAATTCGCTAGTTGTTGTGATACCTGGTTTTGCACTGATGGTCGATTTTAGTGGCCCACAAGTACCTTGAACAGGAATAGTCAGTGTTCCTCTGCCAGCCCAGAAAAGATGAATTTCAAGATAATTTTCTGATACATGTGCTTTATATTCTCTCTGAACTGGTCGGACCGTAGTATCATCATCTGATATGCGTATATGAATGTCCTTTTCAGCAAGTCTTCCCTGTAAAAAAAATAGCTAGTTCTCAGAATTCAGAAAAGATGATTATCACACCAACAAGTTAACTGGTAAGGGCAGACCTGGACATAAATATCAAAACGTCTTCTTCCTAAACCTTTCCAAGCCTTAGTACCAAGGATTTCTATTTCAGCAAACTGAAGTTTTACAGTATAGACTCCATTTTCTAGCCCTAACCCATAGTATCTTAGTGAAGATGAAGAATGTCTTGCTGTCTGAAAAAGTTGTCTTTCCAAACTGTTGATAACCCATATATTATTGATGTTCCCGGCATAAAGTCCTACACTACTGGTTGCCCATCTGTTAACATCATTCACGAAAAATGAAGCAGATCCAAGATCCTCGTCATCCCTCTCAAATACGTTTCCTGTAATGGATCGTATCTGTGTCCCTCCGCACTTTATCGAAACGTCAGAATCTAGATACCAGTCAACAGAAAAACCTTAATCAAATATTTTTCTTTTTCAAAAGAAAATACAAGCATAGTTGAGCGGCTGTCCTGAGATTGTAGGGACTATATACAGTTTCGTATATTTTTAATAAAGATATATCTTTTTTTATAAATTTTGGGGTCTTTTTCTATGTAAATTCTTTTAAAAAAACTGGGGGTCATATGCTAATGTTTCATTTGGCTATATCGTGATCCGAGAACCACCCCTAGTTAGAGAACAACTGTTATGCTGATATCTATTTGTCACACTTACGGATTCCTTTGCCTCGATTGCATGGGAAGTTCTTCTGCAGGCACTTTAGTCCTGGTAAAACCCTTTGTAACAAAATGAAAACAGATTTAAAAAAAAAATGAAACTGAAATCAGATATCAGGAACATGTTAAAAGAAACCACCTCTTGTCAAGACCTTCCAAGGTGAAGTTGTTAGCAACAAGGTTGCTGCACCAATAACATACTGTTCTGTTAGAATTATAATAAGAGAAATTCTTGGATTCCCCCCCCCATAGGGCTAATCTCTAAATTCACCAACCAAAAATATTTCATTATTTCATATTTAGTATCTTTTCAAAAAAATAAAATATTATCGAGTTATTTTATGTTTTCAAAACTAAAAGATAAAAAATAACAGTAGTTGCAAACAAAAAAACTTTTTAGAAAAATATTTTTAATACCGTCAAAAAAAAACTAGACCCTAAACCCTAAATCTTTGGGTAAATCCTCAACCCATGGATAAATCCTCAATTCTTGGATTAATCTTAAACCCTAGGATTTATGATTAATGCAAGGGTTTAGAGTTTATTAGAGTTTACCTAAAGGTTCAGGGTTTATGATTTAGAGTTTAGTGTTTTGCTGACGATACTAAAAATATTTTTAAAAATTAAGGATTTATCCAAGGGTTTAGGGTTTGAAGAAAAGTTTTAAGATTTAGGGTTTAGTGTTTTGATAATAGTTTAAAAAAAATTTGGCAACAACTATTATTTTCTATTTATTTTTATCATAAAATTTTAAAAACATAATATAATTCGAAAATATTTTTTTAAAGAAATTGAATATAAAATAACGTAATTCTATTGGTTGGTGAAACTGGAAATTTACCCTATGGAGTGAACCTATGAATTACTCTTATAATAGTATTTCCTAATCACAAAAGGAAGCAAAAAAATTTCCAATACAGTTCGAAGATTTAAAAAACCCACCGTGATTATAAAAATAATGATACAGTGTTTTGTTTACTTACAGTTTCAAGTTTGGTATGCTGACCCATGGAGGAAGAGTACCAGTCAATTCATTGTACGAAACATCTCTAAAATAATACAATTAAGAAGAATGATTAGAAAAAATATGTTATATATTGCAATACAGTTTCCTGATTATCTTGTACAACAATTGGGTCCATATCACGAATTTGTAACCCACATATTGCTCAAAGTCTGGCTCTTTTGCGTGGGTAAAGATCCATTCAACATGTTGTTTCCGAGAAACCTAATATGAAAACAACAAGGTCATCCACAATTATTGCAGCTAGATAGGAATATATGCGAATATATAGAACCAAAAGAAGTAGAAAACTTACAAGTAAGCAAGTTGATTTAAGTTAAAAAAGTGAAGCTGGAATTGGTCCATGTAGTTTGTTAAAGCTTAAATCACTGGAAAACAGACATGCTAACACACTAAGTTCAATGAATGGGAGTATATGAGAAATAACGTTATCAGCAACGTTAAGATAACTTGGTATTGTCGCGGTGCCTTTCACACATTATCTCACTCTCAAAGACTTAAAAATATGCTTACACTTGTGTAAGATTTAAGTGTTCCCCAAAACTAGAGGGTATTGTCCCAGTAAGATTGCTGTTCCTCAATACTCTGCAGCACATATCATCAATTAAATACACGCAAAGAGAAGAATGAAACAGTTCATGAATTGGAGTATAATTGTTGCCTTACAATATAGTTAGAGATTTCATGTCTTTAATGAATTCAAGGGAAGAGCTTCCATTGGATATATCACCAAGACTCCTACATATAAGATAAGATTATGTGATGCAGCGATGGAAATAAAGAAAAAATAGTAAACAAGAATGATAGTGACACCAATGCCAAAAACACATACAGTTCATTCAAAGAAGTTAAGTAGGAAAATGACGACGGTATCGTCAAACCAGTTCCGAGAATTTTCCTGCAGTAAGAATATGGTGGCAATAGCATGAAAAAAATTCCACTATAAACATTTTCAATATATGTCTCTTTATTTTCTTCTAAAAAAAAAAAAACTCTATTATAGAGGTGAATTTGCTCCAATGATGTTCCTATTATATAGTTCTTCTATTTTTTGAAGAAAATATAAAAGAATATTACTGTAATCTTATATATTTAGGGATAAATAGCATTTTGCTATATTTTTCTCTAAGAATAAAGAATCTCTATTACAAAATCATATATTGGAATAAAATTATCTCTAATAGAATTATTTTATATTAAAAGATTATATAGAAATGAATATATAAGTGGGTCGGAAATGGTTCAAATGTAAATTTAAGATAAAATATATAAAACATGAGAAATGTAAATAACTTATATATATAACTCTGTAAAATAAAGCTAAAATCATTCTTACAAGATAGTAAGGTTTGTCCATTTTCCTATAAATTTCGGTATCTGACTAGTAATGTCCAGATCGGTGATTGCATTGGTATAAGGAGAAAACCACCAGCAGAGAAAAACGTAAATGATAATGTAAAATTAATATAAAAGATTATAAAAATGTAGAAATATAACGATAAAACTTAATTATATGTGAATTTAATTAAAATAAAATCTTACGCGTCTTGCAGGTTTACAAGATTAGCAAATGATGAAGGTATTTCCCCTTTAAGTCCTGAATTTGATAAGTATCTGCAAATAAAATGTAAGAAATGCTTACAACACTAGATGATTTTGAAAGGTTATCAATTAAGTTTCCATACTATGCACAATGCATTCTCACATTTTTAGTAGTTACTTACAATTCCCAATCTCAGCTGGTATAGAACCGGAAAAGTTATTTAGACCAATACCACTGCATACAGAAGATAGTTTTATTAATAAGGAAGCATGATGATATGTTCTTGAGAAGAATGAAGAAGCTTACAATGATTTCAGTTAGGTAAGCAAACCAATTTCCTTGGGAAAGGGGCCTCACAGGGCATTGATCCCAAAAATTCTACGGTAATTGAGAAAAAAGTCAAGCGTAAGTGACAAGAAAGAGATAGAGATTAAGAAAAGGAAGAAGAAAGTATTTCCTCCGTTTCGATTTAATTGTTGTTGTAGATTAAATTTTTTGTTTTAAAATAAGTGTCATTTTATAATTCGATACAAAATTTATTAACTTTATCTACTATTATATTTTTCTATTGTTTGAAATGTGTTTAGGTGCATATGTAATTATGTTTTTTTCTAGAAAATATGAAAAATTAAATGTTTTCTTAATCTATGTGTAAAAACCCAAAATAACAAATAAATTAAAATGGAGGGAGTATCATTCGATCAACAGCCTTACAGCCATTCCATTTGAACCAATTTTCCAATTGCAGGAGAAAGGGGTCCGGTAAGATAATTTTGAGCCAGGTTCCTGAAAGAAAGATGCGTGTTATTTTGAAGTGCAATGAATGCATTTACTGGCTCTTTCTGAATGATTGATAAAAAAGTAAAAATAAATATAAATTCTATACAGATTGGTGAGGTGTGTCAAAGTCCAGAGCTGTGGAGGTATAGGCCCTGCAACATCCATTGCATAGACCTTGCTATGAAGTAAAACAACAACATGGAAACATTCAGTGCGAAAACAAAAGAAAAAAGAAAGAGAAAAATTAAAGAGGTGTACTGTACAGGGCGGTGATTCGGCAGGCTGTAGACTTGTCCAAACTGCAGTCGCATTTGATAAGAGGGTTGTAGGCTTTGTCGTCAATGATGATGTTGTCGTTGATGGCTACGCCGGAGCAAACTTCGCCGCTTATGTTCCATTCCTTTGGCGCCTGAATATTCCAAGCCACGAAGATGTAGTTCAAAGCTTCCGCTGTTGTTTTCCCGTCAGTTTTTATTACCAAAAATTAATAACCAAACAAAGGGTTCAAAGAAAGACCTTCATCGGGATGAGTAATGGCTCCCATTTGGTTTAGAGCTCCAACCAGGTGAACCGAACCAGGGATACACGACGAACAAGACGGTGAGGAGTATACACGTGGGCATTGTCATCGAAGGAGTTTTACTTTCTTTTATTTTTTGGTTCACAGCAACGATTTACACTGGAAAGTTTAATCTTTGGGAACGTTTCGACTCCTTAAATAATCTTAGCTATAGCGTGACCCACACGTTCATATGCAGGTTTTTTTTATTTTTACGTTAATAAATCAATATTTAATTTATAAAATAATGGCATATATTTTAATATCCACCCTTATTAAATAATTGTTTAATATGCTATTTTAAAATATAATAGTTTTGTAATTTTTATTGAGTAGTTTTTGAACCGTCAACTTACCATCCATATTTCTTATCATATATTCATGGTTTAGATTTATATTAGGATATTATTGATATGAAAATATACGTAAGATAATATATATTGACAAAATCAATATATATAAAGGATAGTTTTCCTCCCTCTTGCTAAGCCACGTCATCAAATAGACTCTTCTTGCTGTGACACGTGTCTTCTTTGTTGATACGCCGCGTTTCATTCTACAGAATCCATCTCGCTCTTCCGTCTTCTTCTTTAGAGTACGAAACCTTATCAGTTACCGAATAAACCCTCCATTACTCTCTCACAAATGATATATATTCAATATGATTTCTGGATCTGCAAGACGGTGGAATTTAATCTATAAAAAGGTATTTCCTCCTTACAGAATCATCTGCTCATTCTTCTAATCTAACCAGTAAACTAATTTTGTGAGATATGGCTAACATTCAGGTCTCCATCTTCGATTTGGAGACTGGCCGCTCCTCCCCCCCTATTCAAGACCGTTTATTCCCTTTCTGGGTGGCTAGGAATGTCTGCCATGGTAGAGAGCTATTTCCATCGTCAAGAATCCATATTAGTCAGATTTATTTTTACAAGTTTTGTTCGTAATCAGAGTAACTTTGCCGATTTAATTCTTTAGATGTTTCTGCCGTCTAGAATCGGATTTATCTTAACTTCAATTTATATTCAGTATTGAAGTTTTAAAGCACCAACGAAAAAAGTAAATAACAGAGTTTGGATGGTGTTGTCAAAGAAATTTGTAGTTAATTTTTGGAAGAATAACGAGCAGATGAGATATCTCTCTCTTTTCATATTTGCCCAAAAAAAAAAAAAAAACTCTTTTCATTTTGATTCATGTGTTGATTTTTTTTCCAATCGTAGAATGCTTTGGCGAGTTTGGGTGGATGGTCAAGGCGAAAGAAGAAGTTGTAGCATGAACGATGCATCATCTGTCCCTGAAGATCATTGAGGCTGGGAAGAAGAAGATTTTACGAAGCAAAATTGTGGGTGGAGCCATGGTTGAACTTCAAGGAGTTGCAGGAACTCAAGCATACTGTTGATGTGCCCCTACCATTATTCCCTCCGATCTTGGCTGCAAAAAAAGTATGACTACAGAGTCCCGTTACATATATTTATGCAACACAGATCAATCTTAAGACTGACCTCGATCATGAAAATTTGGTTTTGTGGACCAGATAACAATGCATCTGGATGGAGGGAAGTTTCAAGAGATCATCTAGAAGTTCCTATGTTCCTGCTGCAGGAATGTCTTAAGCCATGGTAACATCCATTAATTTGCCTCTGTTATTTATTCGTGTCTACTAAAGGGCCTCTATTTTTATTTTAGTGTACCTTTAAATAAAATTGAAGAACTATTTAGTTATTTGTGATTGTCTAACATGGAGACGAATGGAGGATGCACATAACATTGCTCTCCCATAATGCCTCAAAGATATAAAGGGGAGGCCTAACATTTCCAGCAGAAGCTTTCAAGGTTTAATTTCTCATCAAAGCATCAGTCATTCACCGTAGCTCACATTTTTTATGGCAACCAGCGTTCCCCTTTCCTGATTTTGCAGAGCAGGTGATCTCTTTGTATATTTACGTTTAAGCACCTCCAAGCACTGTTCTCTTATGTATAGCCATACTCCTCTACAGGGAGGTAATGACAACACCAGCAATAATATTCAAGGACTGGAGCTGTAAGATCTTTAAAGAGCTGCTCCTATCAACAACGGTGGACCCATTACTGATGTCATGGTGTCAGGCAACCCAGGAACAGCCACTGTACCTACCGGAAATCCTGTTCGCAATGGTTAAGCGTCAGATTATTGGAGCCAAATGGAATGTTGCAGACTCTCACACCTGTTTTTTGTTTTTCTTTTCTTGAAAAAAGATCTTTTATAAGTTGTACTTGAGCTGTTTGGCTCAGTATTTCAAATGACTTAGAAAGAGCCTCCATCAAAGATTCGATGTTTGCTTCCACTTTTCAAGTGTATTAAACAAATAACTGGTAGCAGAGTCGAATATATTGACACCTACTAGCTGATTCATTATAATGTCTTTTAATAGTTCTATGAATTGTTAAAAACTAAACATTTTGACATGTTTTAAAGTGCATGTAGCCTCTCTTTTTAAACATACGTCCACTACCAAAAAAAACTACAATAAGATGTCTTAGAGATTAAAAAGTATACCGATTCCTTCTCAAAATTAGAAACAAATCGGTGAGAGAAAAATACACTTGATCCCATACTCAACTGCGTCTTATCTTGGGCACACAACACATCACACTTTCTGCATCAAAATATATATGCTGTTGACCAACTTGCAGCGCAAGTATAGTCTGTTTCATGAGGTTTGTTTGTGTAAATTCTTTTAAAGCTGTTTAAGGAGGTTTAATTACACGGCCTACATGGTCAGTACGATGTTTAAAGAATCACAAAAGTTATCCACACTTACCATTCTTAAAAAAAAACACGACACCCGTTAGTCATACTATTGTTCACCAAAGCGTTTCTTCAGATGGTCCTACTGTGACACACTCATTTGCAGGTCAACAAACAGGTCACACAGCAGCTAGGATGGTTCGTCTTGGACCAACGTTACCGGCTTCTCCAATAGTCGATCATTGTATGATTTACGCCTCCCACTTTCTTTTCATACAAATATTTAAAACAACAATTCCATAAACACTATTATATATATACAAAAAAAAACCACCACACTAATATTTGAACATCCAAATGCATACAAAAAAAACGACATCTTTCAACCACAATTTAATACAAAACAACTCGCCACACCCCACCACCTCACACCCCAAAACCAACATACCCAAACCTTGCTTAGAGTCTCTTATACCATAAACCAAAAAACATAGTTTCATGTATATACATTTTTCCTTTCACAAAAATTGTATATACATCGTCGGTGGTGACGTATAAATCAGTTGTCCATGTTTGTCTCCAACAAGTCAGATTGAGAAGGATAAATTAAGTTTAAAGATAGAAAAAAGCGAAGACAAGAAAATGAGTGTGTAGGAGAGAAAAGAAGGCAAAGATCCCATAAGTTAATGCAATTATCGGCTTTAAAAGAAAAAGATTTGTGACTGATGAAGGAAAAGGAAACAAAATAATATGTAAAAAGAATTAAGTAATTATCAAAGTGTAAGGAAAGATTTTGAAAAAAAACAAGAAAATATCAGAAGAAACTGAAAAAAGAAGCTAAGAAGAAAATAAAACAAATTAAGGAAGAAGATCGATTGATGAATAAATCTATCATAAAATCACTTTATGATAATTCTTTTATAGAACTAAAAAATATTTCAAAGTTTTTTATTAAATCAGTTATTCTATGAAAACGGACTACATGGCATCTTGCACCTGTGGAACAACACTTTATTTTCTATATTGAGGGATTGTTGAACCTATACAAGCAGCATCGAATATTGTCTCGGTGACAAAAAAAACCTGGTAACTAACGTATACAAATATTTTTTTTAACTAACATATACAAATGATTACTAATATTTTTGTTAAATGAATTAATAGCATAACACATAATATATCTTCTTACCATTATAAAATTTAAATAACAGTAAATTTGTGATCTATAAATTTATGAATTTTTTCATTATATTTTATTAAGTCAAAATAATGAAAAAAAATTATGTAATCTGTTGTTCAAAAAAAGAAATGGGAAATGCTTTCTCAAAAAAGAGTGATTACATTATCTTCAAAAGCTAGCCAATGACCTAACGAATTATTGGAAATGTTGAATAAATTAGAAAATATAAGAGAAATTGTTTATACTATTTATGTAAAATAAGTTATATATACATATAATAAAATTGTTGCGTGTATAAACTATTTATAAGCATTAATGATACTTAGATTCATAAATAAATACTAAATTACACAACATATATAAAATGGTTTGATTTGGGTTGGATGTGAAATTAATGATTAGTTTGGGCATCGACAAAATTGTATATCATAATTGATTTGGACTTAGGCCGAAATAGATATCATCATTGAAGATTAAGAAAATAATTGTTAGCATTATGGGAATCCAGAATGAAGGTGGAATGGGATCATATTTAGGTATACCGGAGGACATAAGTGGATCCAAATGTAAGCTCTTTGCTTTCCTTAAGGACAAGTTGAGAGGAAGGGTGAATGGATGGACTGGTCGCTGGCTCTGGAAGGGTGGAAAAGAAGTTATGATAAAGTCAATCTTGCTTGCTCTGCCGACGTATGTAATGTCTTGTTTCCTTCTCCCATTGGAGATTTATGAGAATCTAGCTAGTGCCATTGTACAGTTCTGGTGGAGCTCCAATCCGCCAAAAAGAGGCATGCACTGGTCGACATGGGATAAACTTTGCTTACCGAGAGAAGAAGGTGGAATCGGGTTCAAGATGATCCATGAGTTCAACCTAGCGCTATTAGCAAAACAATTATGGAGATTGGCTCAGAACCCGGACTCTCTGTAGCTCGAGTAATGAGAGGCCGTTATTACAGATTAAGTACGCCTTTGCGTCAAATCAGTACTAGTAGCCCATCATATGTGTGGACAAGTATCTCGGCTGGTAGGGAATTATTATTACAAGGAATTAGACAAAAGATTCATTCGGGATATGAAGTTAGAGCCTGGGAGGATCCTTGGATTCCTATCATACCTGTGAGACCAGCAACCCCATTAGTTCCGGTTATGCACCCGAATATGAGAGTGAGCGATTTGATTGATCAAACTACGAAGTCATGGG